TTCCCTTACACTAAAAGGTGCAGGGTTCTAACTACGAGAGTGAGAATTCTGTATAAGCCTGGAATCACTTTTCAACATGAACCATTTGAGATAATAGATCACATTTTACAATATTAAGGAAAATAACCCAAGGAAATTAAAAAAAAACAGATCCATGGCCATTAGATAGGATTGTCTCAGAAAGAAGACCAAAAAACCAAAAAGCACGTTCAAGTAGGGCAACTTCATATAATCATTTTAAGCTTTGAAATCACAAGTCTGAGCTGTAGGAATGTCTTTGTTGATAAATGCAGAGGAAGGATCAGCCATTGGAACCATTTATCTTGCATTTGTTCAAAGCACTGAATAAATTACAGCAAAATTTTTAGAGTTTGGAATTTTACTGTGATGTGACAAGTACTCAAAGTCAAAGATTTGTTGAATTTGCAAATACTATATATATTTTTACAGTGATTGACCCTTCTTCTAAATCTGTAATTTAAAAGGGGAGGGGGGATACCACCAGCGGGATCCGGGTTTCTGAGAGTGAGGGCTGCTCGGCTGGTCAGGGCAGCCACCGGCTGGAGCCATGACCCCGAACCTGTGCACTGCGCTCATTTTCGGCGGCTTCATCTCCCTGATCGGCGCTGCCTTCTACCCCATCTACTTCTGGCCCCTAATGCAGCTGGAGGAATACCAGAAGGAACAAGCCATAAATCGAGCTGGTATTGTCCAAGAAGACGTGCAGCCACCAGGGTTAAAAGTGTGGTCGGATCCATTTGGCAGGAAATGAAAAGGCTATCACCACCTCTGATTATGAAAGTAGACAAGAGTCTTCATGCTTTCAGTTCTGCAGCAAGTACAATAAATCACCTGGCTAAAGAACGATGGCTGGAGAAGAAAACTCTAGAAGGCTGTAAAGAAGAGTAGTGTGCACCAGGATTAATTCCCTTCTTAAGTATCAAAAGAACCCTGAAACAAATCACACCGTTACGAAGGTTTTCATGATTTGGTTTCCTTTCTAAAAACGAAGCTTTCTCACCCAGCTGCATTTGGAGGTGATCTACTTATTATTCAGTCTCTACCTCTTACCCACCTGAGCTTCGATATGAATACAAGCAACCAGTAGACTTGGGAAGATCCTAGTCTGTTTTGCCATCTTCCAAATAAGAAGTTTCAGTGAAAAACCACTATATTGAGCAGCCTCATAGGGCTCTTTGAAAATGAGAAAGTTGATAAAACTCTTTGAGGACAAGGTACATTGTACTCTTTAAGAATAAAGAGTTCAACTCAACTATCTCATTGGGAGGGTTGCTGCATTTTGAAAAATAAATAACTATGAAGCAAATCAAAACTAAATGGGTATGCATGCCTAGTAGAAATCATGTTGAATTAACTGAGTGAAAATATGTATATTAAAATGATTTCTTTTTACTTCAAAAAAAACAAAATAAAATAAAAGGGGAGGGGGGCTTCCCTAGTGGTGCAGTGGTTAAGAATCCACCTGCCAATGCAGGGGACACGGGTTCAAGCCCTGGTCCGGGAAGATCCCACATGCTGTGGAGCAACTAATCCCGTGCGCCCCAACTACTGAGCCTGCGCTCTAGAGCCGACGAGCTACAACTACTGAGCCCACACACCACAACTACTGAAGCCCATGTGCCTAGAGCCCATGCTCTGCAGCAAGAGAAGCCACCGCAATGAGAAGCCCACGCACTGCAATGAAGAGTAGCCCCCGCTCACCGCAACTAGAGGAAGCCCACACGCAGCAACGAAGACCCGACACAGCCAAAAATAATAAATAAAATTTTAAAAATAAAAATAAAAAAAATAAAAGGGGAGGAAAAGTAACCAAACAAAGCAATTTCACATTCTTCACTTCCAAGTTCTGGTTGAAGGTATTTGAAAGATCAGGATGGTTTTCCATCTCTGGTGATTTAGACGAGTTTTCAAAAACCAAAAGTAATCCAAGAGTATTGTTATTAATATACGTGTTATTCTTCACAAATTTATAGATAACAGCTGCCACCAATTTTGCTGGCTACATAGGGATATCTGTCTGTGGATGCTTCTTTTTATGGTTTCAGTCTCTGAATATTTATGTCATAAGCCAAGTTTGCTTAACTATTTTATTAAGTACGCTTCTTATTTTGGAATAATTTTATGTGTATAGAAAATTTACAAAGAGTGTGTAGCAAGTTCTCATATACACTTCACCCATCTTCCCCTAATGTTTAACATCTGTAAGTGGGTGGAATCTTGGCCTGCAAAATATATGTCCACATCCCAACCCCCGGAATCTGTGAATGTGACCTTATTTGGAGAAAGAGTCTTTGCTGATGTAATTAAATTAAGGATTTTAAGATGAGATTGTTCTAGATTATCTGAATGGGCCTTAAATCCAATGACAGAGATCCTTATAAAAGACACAAAGAGGAGAAACATATAGAGAGAAGAAGACAGGGCTCGTTTTTTCACCAATATTCCTTTTTGGACCTAGGATCCAATCCAGAGTACCACATTGCATTAGTTGTCATGTCTCTCTGGTCTCCTCTGGTCTGTGACAGTTTCATAGTCCTTCTTTGTTTGTCATGATCTTGACAGTCTTGAGCAGCACTGGTCAGATATTTTGTAGAATATCCCCCACTATGGGCTTGTCTGCTATGGTTTTCATGATTAGACTGGTTTATGAGTTCTGGGCATGAATACCACAGGGTTGTAGTGCCCCTTTCATTACATCATAAGGGATATATGTATCCACATGACTTACCCCTGCTGATGTTCATCTTGATCACTTAGGTGTGGTAGAGTTTTCCAGGTTTCTCCATTGTGAAGTCACTATTTTCCCTTTCCATACTCTATTCTTTGGAAATAAGTCTTTAAGTCCAGCCCACACTCAAGTAGTTGGGAGATTAAGCTATACCTCCTTGGAGTGTGGGGAGGATGGTACATATTAGAATTTTTCTGTAAGAAATATGCCTTCCTTCCTCCCTTTCTTCAATCATTTATTTATATCCGTATCAATATATGTATATTTATTTTATAATCCAATTCTACATTATGATCTAATACAACATTATTTTTTTTTTTGCCCAAATTATTCTAGCTTTTCTGGGTCTTATTTTTATTGTCATTTTTATTACATTGTATGGTATTAATTTAAGCTTTCTTTGTGTTCCTTGGTCCATTAGCTATCTGTTGCCACATAACAAATTACCCCTAAGCTTAGTTGCTTAAAACAACAAACATTATTATCTTAGGGTTTCTATGGGTCAGCAGTCTGGGTGTGACTTAACTGAGTGCCTCTGGTCCCTCACAAGTCTGCAGTCAAGGTGTGAGTTGGATCTGTAATCTTCTGAAGCCTCGACTGGGGAGGATCTGCTTCCCCATGCTGACACACATGTTGTTGGTACCCCTCAGGTCCTTGCTAACTGTTGCATGTAGCCATAAGCTCCTTGCCATAAAAGCAAGAACCAGTCATAGACAGCTCACAACATGGCAGCTGGCTTCCCTCAAAGCAAGAGAGAGAGAGGGTGCCCAAGATGGAAACTGTAGTCTTTTTGTAACCTCATCTTGCAAGTGACAGTCTGTCACTTTTGCCCACATTCAAGGGGAGGGGATAATAGAATGGCATGAATATGAGGAGGTGGAATCCCTGAAGGCCATTTTAGAGGCTGCCCACCACACCCAGTGTTGCACTCTTGTAGTCACTCACTTTACTTCACTAGAACAGACAGAAGGAGAAGAGAAGGGGGAAGCTTTGAAAAGCAGAACCCCAGTGGATTAAATGTTTTGCTTGCAATAATTTTCAACATCGTGTCACATTACTACATGGTATCTACCTCCTATTATTGGTCATTTGCACATTTATTTATTCATTCATTTAGGAGTATATGACATGTAGCTTCAAATCCATTGTGACATTTCTGATCCCAGGATGTGGTCTGTCTGAAGTCTTTGGAAAACCTTTTTTTCTTAATTAGACAGCACATGTGTGCTTATAAGTCGTTCAAGCCCAAACACCACAGTCCCGTTTCCACCAGGTGTCATGTGAGCAGAAGTGGAACAATTATTAATTGTAATTGAGGCTAAATGTAATTACTTTTATAACCTTGAGTTGTTCACATTGAATTCATAAACATTTCATAATGAAACTAGGGAATTACAAAGAATTACTGGCAATAACACCAGTAATTCTTACATTTGAACTTAATTTATCTTTAGATCCGTAACCTTTCAATAAAATCATTTATTTGTGTCTTCTAGTTAAAAAAATAATTCTTGCTCCCTGCAGAACACTCGAAAATGAAGAAAAACCCAAAGGAAAACAACAAAACCACTCCAAATTTTATACCATAGTGTTAACATTTTGATGCATAGAATTTCCACATTATTTTATACATATTTATATATATATATATATTTAACACCATTGATATCAAATCTGTAGAATATTTAGAAATGTATTCTGAATATTTTCCTAACTAAATCATTATTTTAGCAAGGATCCACTTGGCTAACCATTATTGTCACTGAAATACCTATGCATGTGAGTTTCTGCTCTGTGAACACCTCTGCACTCATCCAGTAAACATATATTAACTGCTTACTATTGGCCAGGTAGTGTGTTGATGGCACATGATAGAGAGCCTAGCGCAGTGGAGAGCACCTGCCAGGGATTTAGAAAACTCAATATTTCTTCCAGGTCTGCTACTAATTGTCTCATGTCGTTGGACAGATAAAAACCAATAGCTAACATATATTGAACATTCACTATAAGCTAGCTACTGTTCAAAACCGTTCATTTACACTCTTCACTTTTTAAGTTTAATCACAACACCTCAACAATGTAGATCCTATTATAACCATACTCATTTTGTAGAGGAAAAGATTGAGACCAGAGAGGTTAAGGAACGTACCCAAACGCACATAGCTAGTATGTAGTGAAGCCAGGATTTAACCCTTGTAACTGATTCCAGAGGTTATGTTCTTAATCATTACTGTATACTTTTGAAGTGACTATGAGCCCTCTGGGCCTTAGTTCCCTCATTGGCAAAATATATGAGTTGTCCTAAAAGTAGATGGTCCCCTATGTCCTCTGCTTGTTTGGATGTATAATAGCATTTTATCATATGGATAATTAACTTACTCAACTTCAAAATTTCCTCAAATGAAGAGAGCAGGAGATTGGTTCAAGATGGCGGAGTAGAAGGACCTGCTCTCACTCCCTCTTGTGAGAGTGCTGAAATCACAACTAACTGCTGAACAATCATTAACAAGAAGACACTGGAACTCACCAAAAAAGATACCACACATCCAAAGACAAAGGAAAAGCCACAATGAGATGGTAGGAGGAGCGCGATCACAATAAAATCAAATCCCGTAACTGCTGGGTGGTGACTAACAAACTGGAGAACATTTATACCACAGAAGTCCACCCACTGGAGTGAAGGTTCTGAGCCCCATATCAGGCTTCCCAACCTGGGGGTCTGGCAATGGGAGGAGGAATTCCTAGAGAATCAGACTTTGAAGGTTAGTGGGATTTGATTGCAGGACTTGGACAGCACTGGGGGAAACAGAGACTCCACTCTTGGAGGGCACACACAAAGTAGTGTGCACATTGGGACCCAGGGGAAGGAGCAGTGACCCCATAGGAGACTGAACCAGACCTACCTGCTACTGTTGGAGGGTCTTTTGCAGAGGCGAGGGGCAGCTGTGGCTCGCCATGAGGACAAGGACACGGGTAGCAGAAGTTCTGGGAAGCACTTCCTTGGCGTGAGCCCTCCCAGAGTCTGCCGTTAGCCCCACCAAAGGGACTGTAGGCACCAGTGCTGGGTCACCTTAAGCCAAACAACCAACAGGGAGGGAACCCAGCCCCACCCATCAGCAGACAAGCGATTAAAGTTTTACTGAGCTCTGCCAAGAAAGCAACAGCCAGCTCTACCCACCACCAGTCCCTCCCATCAGGACACTTGCACAAGCCTCTTAGATAGCCTCATCCACCAGAGGGCAGACAGCAGAAGCAAGAAGAACTATGATCCTGCAGTCTGTGGAACAAAAACCACATTCACAGAAAGATAGATATGATGAAAAGGCAGAGGGCTATGTATCAGATGAAGGAACAAGATAAAACCCCAGAAAAACAACTAAATGAAGTGGAGATAGGCAACCTTCCAGACAAAGAATTCAGAATAATGATAGTGAAGATGATCCAGGACCTTGAAAAAAAATGGAGGGAAAGATCGAGAAGATGCAAGAAATGTTTAACAAAGACCTAGTAGAATTAAAGAACAAACACCTAGAAAAATTAAAGAACAAACAAACAGATGAACAATACAATAACTGAAATGAAAAATACACTAGAAGGACTCAATAGCAGAATAACTGAGGCAGAAGAACGGATAAGTGACCTGGAACACAGAATGGTGAGATTCAGT